TCCCCTGAGCCTTCTTTCATTCCACCAGAAAGCCAGTTACAGCCCCATAGAGTTTTGCCAGGGCAGTTCTTTTTCCTACAATCTCATTAACCTTCTATATGGTTAACATACTCACTTCCTTTAATTCTTTTTTTCTTTTTTCCTTTTTTTCTACCAGTCCTGGGGCTTGTACTCAGGGCCCAAGCATTGTCCTTCCAGTCACAGTCACTACCAATTTTTTCTGAGTACTTTACTGGAGAGAGTTTCACAGAATTTCCCTCGTGGGCTTGCTTTGAACTACAATCCTCTGATCTCAGCCTTCTGAGTAGCTAGGATTACAGGCATGAGCCACCTGCACCCAGCTTCCTTTAATTTTTTACACCAGCGTTTCTCACCCTTGGTACTGCCCACATTTGGAGGCCTGTAATTCTTTGGTATGAGCAGCTTCCCTATACTAATGCACTCTTAATTAAGAGTGAGTTAAATATTCTTTTTTTGGGGGGGGGTCCAGTTGTGGGGCCTGAACTCTGGGTCTGGGCACTGTTCCTAAGCTCTTCAGCTCAAGGCTAGCACTCTACCACTTGAGCCACAGCGCCACTTCCAGTTTTTTTCTTTTTGCTTATGTGGTGCTGAGGAATCGAACCCAGGGCCTCAGGCATGCAAGGCAAGCGCTCTACCACTGAGCCACCTTCCCAGCCCCGAGTTAAATATTGTTAAATATTATCAGCAACTTGATTAAAGCCTTCACAAGGAAAGACAATGCCCAAAACAACAAACAAAGCAAAACAAAACAAAAATAAACTCTACGGCTAGGCACTGGTGGCTAGGCACTGGTGTGAGCGCACTGGTGGCTCACACCCGTAAGTAATCTTAGCTACTCAGAAGGCTGAGATCTATGGATCTGTTCAAAGCCAGCCCAGGCAGAAAAGTCTGTAAGACTTTTATCTCCAAAAAAACTACTTAAAAAAAGCCAGAAGTGCTGCTGAGGCTCGAGTAGTCTTGATCACGAAGAGGCTCAGGGAGAGTGCCCCAGGCTATGTTTAAGCCCCACCACCAGAAAAAAAATCCTTAAAAAATCCAGAAAATTCCAAGTACAAGGAAAAAGAACAAACAGATAAAGACATAGATACTGGTAATATATTACTAAAAGAAATTGGATGGGCCTTCGTGCTATCCCGAGAGGGCGGCTCTTCACCTCGCGGGAGGCTCCTCAGGGAGGTCGGGTCACAGCCGAGGTGATTGAGCACCTGGAACCACTGGCGCTGGTGGACTTTCGCAGCCGCGAGGCCGTGGAGCGGCTGGAGAAAGCCATCGCCTTCGCTGACCGGCTTCTTGGGGACACCGACCACCGACGGGGTGAAGCCCATGGAGTCGGTACTGGAGGACAGATGCCTATACTTGAGATCAGACAATGTAGTGGAAGGCAACTGTGCTGAAGAACTACTACAAAACTCCCAACGTGTCGTGGAGGAGTATTCTGTGCCCCCCCCCCAGGTAATATCTCTTTGCCAAAGCTGGGCAAACAAAGAGCCCTTCTCTCATGGCTGATAGCTAGCTATTCTAGGAAGGGGGACGCTGTGAATACATGGAAGCACAATGGTGGCACTGTTATTGTGAACCTTAATGTTCTATCACCTGAAAAAGTGGATGTTTAAGCAACTCTCAGTAACTGACTCTTCTCAGGAAGATTTGAACAATATCCAAGTAAACAAGGCAATGAATTCCTGATGCTAATGGAAAAGGGAATATCAACTTCCAAGGAAATGGATCAAGTATTTACAGGCCTATTCAGTATGGAAGTTACCCTCTTTCATCTTCCTGTAAAAGAATTGTGTCTAACAAACAAAAAAAAAGAAATTGGATGGTATATAATAGGAACAAAAAAAGGAAAGGGTTTTGAAAATTACAGAGTAATAGAAAACATTAATAAAGATACTTGTGAGGCAAAGATACAATTTGAGGCCAGCCTGGGTAAAAAGTATAAGATCCTATCTGAAAAACTAAAATCAAAAGGGCTGGGTGGTGGTGGCTTAAGGGACAGGCATGTGCAGGGCCCTGAATCCAATACCCTGTACAGCAGACACACACACACACACACACACACACACACACACACACACACAAATATAAAAAGGAAAACAAAAAAGCAATGATATTCAAAATAGGAGGGAGGAATGAGTAGATTATAAAAGCAATCCATTAAATCCAAGATCTAAACAGTAAGAGGCACAGAGAGAACATACAAAATGGAATAGAGGGTGGGTTATGAAAAAATTACATGTTAGAAAAATTTCCCATATTTAAAAGCATTAGTTTCCAGATAGACAAGCCCTACCACATGCCCACTACAATGAATTAAAAGACCCCTGGGATAAAGAAGCCTCAGAGATAAAGACTGACACCCTAGGGGCTGGGAAGTTGGCTCAGTGGTAGAGTGCTTGCCTTGCATGCCTGAGGCCCTGGGTTCGATTCCCCAGCACCACATAAGCAAAAAGAAAAAAAAGCCGGAAGTTGCGCTGTGGCTCAAGGGCTCAAGTGGTAGAGCGCTAGCCTTGAGCTGAAGAGCTGAGGGACAGCGCCCAGGCCCAGAGTTCAGGCCCCATGACTGGACCCAAAAAAAAAAAAAAAAAAGGACACCCTAAAAACTTCTGGAATAAAAAAAGGAGAACATATTACAAACAACCAGAACTTAAAGTAGCATATCGATTCATACATCCAACAGCCAAATCACAATGAAATAAATACTGTCTTCAAATTTATAAAAGCAAATCAAGTCAAACCAGGAAATTTAAATCTAGAAAACTCTCAATCCTTTCTCAAGAAGAAAAAAAGAGACTAAAATTTTACCTCCAAGGCACTCTTCCTCAGAAAGCTAATGGGTTGTACTCTAGCCAAATAAAGGTATAAATCAAGAAGGAACAAAAAGGACCTAAGAAACAGGAAAGCAAGACTGTGAAGAAGCAACACTGTCAGGACCAAAGCTTTGTAGGCAGGCTAGTAGGCTAGGATGGCTAACTCCAGCAACTTTGTTGGACCCTTTAAAGCATTGCATCATGGTTCAGGCCAGCTCATGTTATTATACAGAGGAGCTGGGGGCATAGCTCAGCACTAGAGCATCTGCCTAGCAATCACAATGCAAATAGAAGTACAATAGTACAATAGATCCCAGGAAAAAGACCAGGATGTAGCAACATGATAGGAAGAAAACCTTCAGGGGAAGAAAAAAGGATGAAAAGGTGCAGCAGTGGAGCTCATTGGACACTGTAATGAAAGTGAACTATACAACTCCTGGGTAGAAATGGGGGGGGGGAATAGAAGAGAGTGGGGGAAAGGAAGACACTGTAAGAAAGGAAATGTCCTCATTACCAGATTCATGTAATTGTAATCCCTCTGTACATCACATTTATAATAACAATAAAGTACATTTTTTCTAAAAAAGAAAACTATTAGGGAATAGCTTCAGATATCAAAAGCAATGTTTCAGGAGGAAAAGAACAAGCTAACAAGCAGAAAACAAAAGAAAATTCAAACTAGAGTCAAAAGTTTCTTTTTGGATTTGGCAAAATAGAGGCCACTAATTACATGCTGATGACTCATTCCTAAAATCCTAGACACTCAGGAGGCTGGGATCTGAGGACTGATGTTTGAAGCCAGCTTGGACAGTAAGAGTCCATGAGACTTTTACCTCCAATTAACCAACAAAAAAAAGCCAAGAGTAGAGGTGTGACTCAAGTGCCAGCGCTGTGAGGGAAAAGGCAAGTGAAGAGAGTGAGACCCTGAGTTCAAATCCCAGAGCTAACATACAAAAAAACAGAAGTCAATTCTCAACTTGTAGAACACTACCCAGCACCAGTGGGTCACACCTGTAGTCCTAGCTACTTAGGAGGCTGAGAGCTGAGGATCATGGTTTGAAGCCAGCCCAGGTAGGAAAGTCCATGAGACACTTATCTCTAATTAACTACCAGAAAACCAGAAGTGGCACTGTGGCTCAAGTGGTAGAGTGCTCACCTTCCTCTGAAGAGCTGAGGGACAGAGCCTAGGCCCACAGTTCAAGACCCACAACTGAAAAAAAATAATTTAGTGTTTCTCAGTTTTATTCACAAAAGCTTTTAAGACCCTAAGAAGCCAGGTACCAGTGGCTCATGCCTATAATTCTAGCTACTCAGAAGGCTGAGATCTGAGGATCATGGTTCAAAGCCAACCTGGGCAGGAAAAGTCAAGAGTGGAGCTGGGCTCAAGAGTGCTACTCTTGAGCAAAAAACAAAAAACTCAGGCACAGTCACACACACAAAAAAAGAATTAACAGGGATCAAAACAGCTAGATTGGAGTCTTTTTCAATTCTCACTATCTAGGCTTTGGCTTTCTACTGTGGTTAAGTTCTATAAGAACAGGCACCACATCTACTGCCCTGATGAGTCACCTTGCAGGCCCTACCAGCTAGCATAGTGCCTGACACAGTAGCACTCAATCAAATGTACCCATGAATCAGAGGGATATAAAAGTGTCTCAGAGGTCACTTCTGACGCACATCTTACCTGCATACCTACATCTCTCATGGGAGTTTTCAATTTTGTTCTGCTCCAAACATAGCCTTCTAAATGCTTCAAATACCTGATAGTTGCTATAGTTTCTCAGCAGTGTTTCTTTCCTAATACTTTACTGTTATTAAAGACCTTGCACATCTGACATTTCCAATAACGGATATAGTTCTGCCTCCTCTTCCTTTTCTCTGGCATGACGCACTGGCAATATCTGTCCACATTAGGGGGCAAGTTTTTAGGTGGCTGGCATAGCTCACGTGGTAGAGTACATTTTTAGCAAGTACAAGGCCCTGGTTTCAATCCACAATACCACACACACACACACACACACACACACAAACACACACACACACACACACAAAGACAAATAGGTACGCTTTCAGTAATTGATGCAGGTCAGATATTAAAATGTCAGGAACAATGTTGTTCAAAACTGTAATGCCTCAGGCCATCTTCATCCAGCCCTCATTATTTCTTACCTGAGCAACTTGATCATGTTTCTCAGGGATATTTTTCAGATGGTTAGACCGTACACACACACACACAATGTTCCCATCTAAGAAAGAAAAGAATATAATTTATAAGGTTTTCATTCTAAAATGTGATTTAAAAGAAATTATCTGGCAACCCAAATTCTCACCTTCAGAGTTATATGTAGATATAAAGAGACAAAGTGTCTGGTTGAACGGGGAGCCATTTTTCAGAGAAAACCTAATCCTTTCCTGGTTTAGCTATTAAACAGCTACTTCTTAATGGAGCTAGTCCTCAGTATTTTCTCTCATATCACAAATGTGCCATATGAAACATCTGCTTTCAGCCCAGATTTTTAAAGAGGGAAATAAAATATAATGGGCTTTGTTTTGCTATTACTGAATAATAGAACGCTGACGTCATATACTCATTTAATTCAGCACACAAAGGGAAAAGCCAAATGTCTGCCCTAATGAACTGTAGTTTAAAGCATATGGATATTAAACAGTGTGACTAATATAAAATGATAGTGTTTCAAGTGGATTTATGGAAAATGGGCAGATAGAAAGCTCAGGAATGGAATCTAGGAATGGATACTAGAATTAAGTCTCAGAGAAATGCAACCATGATTTATTTTTTTTTTGGGGGGGGGTTCCAGTCCATGATTTCTTTTTTTGGGGGGGTCCATTCGTGGGGCCTGAACTCTGGGCCTGGGCGTTGTCCCTCAGCTCTTCAGCTCAAGGCTAGCACTCTACCACTTGAGCCATAGCACCACTTCAGGCTTTTTTTTTCTGCTTATGTGGTGCTGAGGAATCGAACCCAGGGCCTCAGGCATGCAAGGCAAGCGCTCTACCACTGAGCCACCTTCCCAGCCCCGCAACCATGATTTCTTTCACTAGTATACAGTCTTCTTTCCAATCCTCTTAAGGCAGATTTATCACAGAAAGTTCTAGTTTTTAGGGGCATGAGGATGTGAAAATAGATTTGACTACAACAAAAAGTGCAATCTCCCAGTATGAACAGCAGCATAAAGGAGGATAATAGTGACATTGGTGATGACATGACAGCAGCAGGGCTAGCTAACAGTCACATTTAGGAAAACAGCTTATTTTGTGTGCTAGTGTTAGAGCTTGAATTCTGGAACTTGCTCAGCTTACTTGCTCACTGTTGGAGCTCTTCTACTTGAGCCACAACTCCACTTCCAGTTTTTTGCTAGTTAATTGGAGATAAGAGTCTCATGGACTTTTATGCCCAAACCTACTGACACTTTTCCTACACTCTTCCCTTCCCCTCCTTGTGTTTTTATATCAACTAGTTACAGCTTTCAGCTGACCTTTCCAAGTTCCTAGGTAGTATCCCACAGTCTTCGGATTACCATCTGGGCCTCAGTTAACAGAAAAGGTGGCCATTAATGACAGGCTAGAGAGAGCAGAAAGACAAGAAGGGGATTAGAGGTTAAACAAAACGAGGAAAACAATAAGGAAATCAGGAATGTTGTCTAGATGAGGACAAAGATTTTTCCCTAGAAGGTCTGCATATGTGAATGTCTGCAGCCAAATAAAAGGACACTCTATTCAGGTGCTAGTAGCACATGCCTCTAAACCAAGCTACTCGGGAGGCTGAGATCTGAGAATCATGGTTCAAACCCAGCCAGGGCAAGAAATCCTTGAGATTCTTGTCTCTAACAAACTACTCAGAAAAAGCTGAAAGTGTCACTGTGAATCAAGTGGTAGAGAGCTAGGTTTAAGCAAAAGAAGCTCAGCACCCAGGCCCTGAGTTCAAGCCCCAGGACCAGAAAAATAAAAAAGAACACTCTATGGTAGGAAGGAGTTTCAAATTTGCCATAAAGCAGGAGTCAGCAAACTTATTCTACTAGGGGAGAGAGTACAGTTTAGGCTTTGTGGGCTAGCCATGTGTTCCTTGACACCACCACTCAACTCTTGCCACTGTAGCGCGATCAAAATGCTATATATAAACAGGTGAGCTTCACTGTGTTCTAGTAAAACTTCATTTACAAAATCAAGCAGCAGGACAAATGGGTCTAAGGACTATAGTTTGTCAACCCCTGTCATACATTAAATTCTGCATCTCTGAAGCTTCAGAAGCATTGACTTTTTCTGTGGAGATGGTACTGTAGTGCTTGATAAGGTGATGTCACTACATCAGCTAGCCTTGAATAAAATCACTGAAGTACTACATTGGCTATCTAAATATACATTGAGCACATACCACACACAAGAACTCCCTGGTTACATTTATGACAGATGTGAAGAATATCAATCTCAGCTTTGGCATTTTCCAAATATATGTCCTGGGAAAATTCCTTGTTCTCTCTGAGCCTTAATGTTTTCATCTATAAAATGAGAGTACCTATGGCTCTGGGTTATTGTAAATTGTACAATGAGACAATGGTGCATGAGAATCACCTAGCATAGGCCTGATTCCTAGCAAGAAAACAGGAAATAATGGCTAGCATCATTAGCCATTAAAGGGCCTTAATAAATAAGGAATAGGGAGGTGAGGGCTTACAGAGAATATAATAGGATGTAGAAGACAACAGAGACCCTTTGATTGGGGTCTGGTTACTGTGCCATTGACTCCATTGAGCATTTGTAGGTCAAACTATAGTCTTTGTAAAATTTTCTTCTGAGCTTCAAACTTCACCTGTAAAAGAATATAAACAATGAGAAAATGACTTTTGTAGTATTCCCTTAAAAATGGAAAGCAAACAAAATATTTTAATTGCAATAATTTCTTTTCTTCCTCTATTTTTCTCTGCTTTTATTTTTCAATGTAACTTTATTGTTTTCATTAAGGTTTGGTACAGAGGGGTTACCATTTCATGTCAGGTACATTTCTCTTTGGACATCAGTCCTTTCTTTACTTTAGTCAGCTCCCCCTCTCCTCCTCCCTCCCATCCCTGCTACAAGTTAAATAGTTCATTTTCCACATAGTAGATACCGAATAGCATGATTGCATTTGTTCACCCTTCTTTCCTCCCATTCTGTTCTCTTTTTTGCCCCAGCTAAAAAGAAAAGAAAACAAAAGCAAAAACAATCACCACCACTACGGACAACAACAACAAAAAACCCACATTCCCATTTCCTAGAAACATTTGTAGGTCATGGTCTCAGTGGATAAAGAACCCAGGATTAAACAAAGTCCTAACAGGGTACTGAGAGAAAATCCAGAGTGAGTTCTAGCTGGAAGACAAGTGGTAGAGCACCTGCCTAGCAAGTGTGAGGCCCTGAGTTTAAAATGTTAGCACTGCCAAAACATCATGGTTCAAGTAGCAGAGTGCCTACCTAGCCAACATGAGACTCTGAGTTCAAACCCCAGTGTACCAAATAAAAAGAGTGAGCTCCATTAAAGTCCATCCTTTATCTGACCTTTAAAAGTAAACACATCATGGGCTGGGAAGATGGCTTAGTGGTAGAGCACTTGCCTTGCATGCCTGAGGCCCTGGGTTCGATTCCTCAGCACCACATAAGCAAAAAGAAAAAAAGCCGGAAGTGTCGCTGTGGCTCAAGTGGTAGAGCGCTAGCCTTGAGCTGAAGAGCTGAGGGACAGCACCCAGGCCCAGAGTTCAGGCCCCACGACCAGATCCAAAAAAAAAAAAAAGTAAACACATCAGGCAGTGCTGTGCAATAAAAACTTTTGCTAATGAAATTGTTCCATCTCTGTGGTAAGTTGTATGCTTACAACAGGTACTGATAAGCTGAAATGTGGCCAGTAGGACTGAGAAGGTAAATTTTTGTGGTACTAGGGATCCAATACAGGGACTGACAAATCTAAGGCAAGCACTCTGCCTCTGAACCACACCTCCATCTCACAGTCTTATTAAAGTTTAATTCAGCCAGGTACCAGTGGCTCACACCTGTAATCCTAGCTACTCAAGAGGGTCAGATCTGAGGGCTGTGATGCAAGGCCAGCCCAGACATAAATTGGAGAGACGCCTATCTCCAAATGGCCAGCAAAATGCTAGATGTGAAGTTGTGGCTCTAATGTTAGAGTATCAGCCTTGAGCAAAAAAGCAAGTGAGAGCTCAAGACCCTGAGTTTGGGCTGGGAAGGTGGCTCAGTGGTAGAGCACTTGCCTTGCATGCCTGAGGCCCTGGGTTCCATTCCTCAGCACCACATAAGCAAAAAGAAAAAAGCCATAAGTGGCGCTGTGGCTCAAGTGGTAGAGCGCTAGTCTTGAGCTGAAGAGCTGAAGACAGCGCCCAGGCCCAGAGTTCAAGCCCCATGACCGGACCCAAAAAAAAAAAAAAAGACCCTGAGTTCAAGCCTCAGTAACAACACAAAAAAAATGTAATTAACTCATAGAGTCATCTCTATGCAAAGCTGTACACCTCTACTGCCCGAAAGTTACAGAACTCAAGGAAAAACAGAGCTGGGAATATAACATTCCAAAACTTTATCAGCAATTTTCAAAGGAAAGGTGCAACCCTAATTTTTAAAAAGTAGCATTCACATGTGTGAAATGGTTATGACACAATACTATGATACCAAGCACAGCAATTTAGTCACAGACCTGAGATTTACCTGTAGAGTCAGATGCCATAAAGCTCACCGCTTTTGAGTTACTATGAGGTGGTAAAAATATTAGTTGGATGGAATAGTCTAACACCAGAGGCCAATGGGTGTAGCTCATGGAACTAAGGGAGGGACAGATGTTTGAGGTTATGTACATGTGTATATTTTATGTATTCTTACATAGCCTGGTTCAGCTGGATGCACTTTGCTTCTTTCCTCCAGTACCTCTCCTGGAAAAAATCATGCTTAGGCAAATGTGATATCTGCATTAGGCCCAGACTGTTCCCTGATATGTCAATTAGTTGGAATAAATTTGTTTTCAAAGCAAATGTGGCAGAAGTGACTTTTTAAATTTAAACAGCCATATGCAACTACTGGCTCCTATGTCAGAATGGCAAGAACACTGCCATGTTGGAATATACAAGGACACTGCAACTTACACACACACACACACACACACACACACACACACACACACACACACACAGAGCTATAAGAATGATAAAGGGTAAAAGAACAAAGAAATCTGCATCTGAATCTATAGATCTAGGATACATATAAACTGACCTAAAGCTCACATTTCAGAGTAATTTTCATAGCAAATTTAAATACCTGTGGAACATCTGTGTAGAACAGTGCAGTCAGGCTTGACTCGCATGCCATCCCACTGCTGGGAGGAAAAGGAGGAAGAATAAAGCTGGGCACCTACCTTGAGTTGCTCTTCATAGCTCAGCTTCCAGAGTGGTATCACAAAATCAGCTAGCCTTGAAGAAAATAATTCAGGCACTTCATTATTTATTGAAATTTGCATTGAGTACCTACTATGCATAAGCACTGCTTGTCACTACTTTTTCTGGTGCTTCACTTATTATTCAGAAGACCCAACTCTCACGCCCCAAGGGAGATGAAGTCTGGGAGAACAGCCCATTTTGGTGGCATCTACTTAACAAAGCACAGCAGATGGGCAAACCTAATATAAGAAAAATCCACATTTATCAGATGGTAATTAATCATATTTTTTAAAGCTTCACTGTCGGGTTCCTTTAAATAGCTCACCTCCCTAATGCTTTTAACATGTAATTTGATTTAGAAAATGTGTTTGTTGCATAAAATGAGGGATATTTGTTTTTGTACGGCTGCAATGGGACTATTCATTTCTAATCTACTCATATCATTCTGAATCCTTGGATGTTAGCATGGGCCTGTTTTAGAGATGAGGTCCTAGTGCAATATCTCCTTTCTGACAAACACATCAAATACAAGGAGTTCTATCAATATCCTTCAGATATTCCCATTTGCCCTATGTATCTGACCTCAGGTGCCTTCCAGAGCCATGGAAATGCCACATTAGATAGGTTAGCAACATGCAACCGATCCAGAGATTCAAACTCACCAGAGAAAAAAAGGACAATAGCTTGATATTTCCTTTCCTGCCAAGAACCATCAAACAATCCAAGATGGTTTTGTTTTTTCCTCAAATTTTTGTCCTCTTGGATACTTCTTGGCAATCACATAGGTGAAATTCCCCTTACATGCTATCCCCCAAAATGGCTGAGACCAATCTGGTGATTTTCTGGCACACCAGAGAAGCAGTCTTGGTTCGGAAAAGAGACCTACCCTGGAGAGTCTTAGGCCATGCATTAGGGCTCTCCTCTTGATGCCTGTGAAGCAAAGACACACACTAATTTACCCACTGAAGGGCTGAAAAAATGAGAAATAACTTGCAAAACCGTTAGTTTACTTATAAATCCTTATGGAACACAGCACTTGGCACAGTGCTGGCACAGAACAGACATTTTGTACAGAGGGCCTCTTCAGCATTCAAGGAAGAGTTATAAGGTTCCAAAATAAAGAGATGAGGAAAATATTTGTCCTTCAGGAAAGGATTTACCTAACATGATAACATGTCTACAGGCAATCTCTTTCCCTCCCAACCAATAGCAATCAATCAACCAACACTTAGTAAGGGCTTACTGTATGTACAGCATGTCGTACTTGTACTGAAGGGGTTACAAAGGTTACATCCTAGCTGAATAGACTGAAGGTGGACCTAATAAAATGTGAGTAATTAGCCTGGCACTGGTGGCTCACACTGTAATCCTAGCTACTAAGAGGGCTGAGATCTGAGGATCGAGGTTCAAAGCCAGCCCTGGCAGGGAAGTCCGTGAGACCCTGATCTCCAATAAACCACAAGAAAACTAGAAGTGGCACTGTGGCTCAAGTGGTAGAGCACTTGCCTTGCACTGAAGAGCTGAGGGAAAGCACCTAGGCCCAGAGTTCAAGCCCCACAACCAACAAAAAATAAAAAAGTGAGTAATTAATACAAAATTATTGGTTCCTGCTGAGGGCTCAGAAGGAGGGTTGGCACCTGGCCATAAAAAATGGGTCAAGTGGGCTGGAAAGGTGGATCAGCAGTAGAGTGCTTGCCTTGCATACATGAGGCCCTCAGCACCACATAAGCAGAAAAAGCAGGAAGTGGTGTTGTGGCTCAAGTGGTAGAGTGCTAGCCTGAAGAGCGGAGGAAAGCAAGACACAATTCTGGTGACTCAGAGGAGTATGTAGAACTGTAGATGCCAAGGAGGTGCCTTTGATGCATGCACTGACAGTCAGGGAGTCTGAGACAGAAAAAAAAAAAAAGATGATGGAGATAGCACACAGTAGGGCCAAATGAGAACTCTGAACTGTCAGGAATGTAGACCCTAGAATCAAAAGACCTGGATTGGACAAAGTAGATAGGTAGATTCAGTCAGGTTAACAATTCAGCAAACTTTGTTTTTATATCACTTTTAAAACAGGTGCCAATGGCTCATACCTATAATCCTACCTACTCAGGAAGCTGAGATCTGAGAATTGTGGTTCACAAGACCCAGTCTGGGCCTGCCCATGAGATTCTAATCTCCAATTAGTTACAAAATTGCAACAATAAGATGTACAAGAAATTATGTGGAAAAACAAACTTTACAACTTTGGCCCGGGGTGGGGGGGGGGGGGAGATGGGAAGGGATTGGAAGGGGAAACAAAGGAGGAGGCAACAATGCTTGATAAGAAATGTACTCATTATCTTGCCCATGTAATTGTAACCCCTCTGTACGGTATTTTCACAATAAAAAAAAAAACCATAAGTGGAGCCATGGCTCAAGTAGTAGACTGCTAGCCTTTAGTAAAAGGTATCAGGGAGGGCTGGGAAGGTGGCTCAGTGGTAGAGCACTTGCCTTGCATCCCTGAGGCCCTGAGTTCCACTCCTCAGCACCACATAAGCAAAAAGAAAAAAGCCAGAAGTGGTGCTGTGGCTCAAGTGGTAGAGCGCTAGCCTTGAGCTGAAGAGCTGAGGGACAGCACCCAGGCCCAGAGTTCAGGCCCCACGACCGGACCCAAAAAAAAAAAGGTATCAGGGACAGTGTTCAGGCCCTGAGTTCAAACCGTAGTACAGGCAGGCACACACACACACACACACACACACACACACACACACACACACACACACCACATAGATAATAACAGTAGCAACATCATACTGTGGTTGTAAGAGGTAAAGATACTTAACAAAAAGTACTACTAGGGGTACTATTAGTGTTTTGGTGTGGTCAAGCACTGTGTAGCATGTGTGAGGCCTTCAATTCAATTTCCAGCACTACAATCTTTAAAAAGTACTTAGCAGTGAGGCACAGGTGGGTTCAAGCCTAAATCCTAGCTACTGAGGAGACTGAGATGTAAGGATTGTGGTTCAAAGCCAGCCCAGGCAGGAAAGTCTGTGGGACTCTCATCTGCAATTAACCACCAACATATCCAGAAGTGGAGGAGTGACTCAACTGATAGAGTGTTAGCTCTGAGGAAAAAAAATCCCTCAGTGACAGTGTCTGGGTTCTGAGTTCAAGCCCTAGTACCAGCATACACACACAAAAAAAGGACTTGGCAGATTAATCAGAGATGATACCTATAAAGCTCTGAATACAGTGTCCAGCACCTGGAAAATGTTCTGCAGTGTTAGTAGTAACTGTCAATGTCTTTAAAGTAAGGTCTGGAGAGCCACGCAGTGGTGGCTCACACCTGTAATCCTAGCTACTCAGGAGGCTGAGATCTGAGGACTGAGGTTCAAAGCCAGCCTGGGCAGACAAATTCGATTCTTACCTTCAATTAACCAGCAAAAAGCTTAAAGAGCACTAGCCTTGAGCAGAAAATGCCTAAAGAGGGCATGAAGTCCTGAGTTCAAGTCCCAATACTAGAAAAACTAAAGACTAGGGACATGGCTCAAGTGATGAGTACCTGCCTAGCAAAGCAGAAGGTCCCAAGTTAAAACATAGTACTTACAAAAAAAATACATACATAATAATGTGTTTTAAGACTTATGAAGTTGATTTGGGAAGGCGATATTAAAAGAGGAGGGGGGGCTGGGAAGGTGGCTCAGTGGTAGAGCGCTTTCCTTGCATGCCTGAGGCCCTGGGTTCAATTCCTCAGCACCACATAAGCAAAAAGAAAAAAAAGCCGGAAGTGGCGCTGTGGCTCAAGTGGTAGAGTGCTAGTCTTGAGCTGAAGAGCTGAGGGACAGCGCCCAGGCCCAGAGTTCAGGCCCCACGACTGGACCCCCAAAAATAAATAAAATAAAAAAGAAGAGGGGAACAGCGGGGCACCAGTGGCTCACGCCTGTAATCCTAGCTACTTAGGAGGCTGAGGTCTGAAGATCACGGTTCAAAGCCAGCCTGGGCAGGAAAGCCTGTGAGACTCATCTCCAGAATACCAGAAGTGGTGCTGTGGCTAAAGTGGCAGGTACTTGCCTGGAGCTGAAGAGCTCTGGGACAGCGCCCAAACTTAGAGTTCAAGCTCCATGACTGACAAAAAATGAAGGAATCATAGGAATAATTCTTGAGACAAAAGCAGGAAGAGTTAAAACTGGTGGCAGAGAACACAAGTGGAAGGTTTCACTTTGGAAAGAACTCCGCTTCTTCCAAAACAGAGCTCTCTACTTGAGCCTATTTATCCGAGGGTACCTGCCCATTGCTTGTGAGTCCCTTTCTTAAATGCCCTTGAATACAAGTGAATGGATGTGGCCTGACAACCTACTTGATTTGCAATAGTTACCTTTTAACCATTGACCTCCGTCTAGATTTTAATTCCCGTGTTAAATCATAGCTTAATTCAGGAAGATATGTAAGTACTTAAAAGTCCAATATATACAAGAGGTTTATTAAAAAAAATACTCATCCATGGTGCTCCTACTGCTAAATTAGTTTGTCATAATCAATAGGTCACTCAGAAGGTGCTGAGCGGGATGCTGTGGTATTTAACCCATATACCATTTCGTATGATTACAAAGTACTAAAGGTAAGGCCTCATCATGTCATCATTTTGGGGGGGATGTGATTTCAAACTGCTAACAATATATTTAATCTGCCCGTAGTTCAGCTGTTAACAATAACCCTCCTCCCCCCCTCCAATTCCCTCCAATTCCCTTCATAAGCCCCAAAAGTTGTCTTGGTTAAGAACACAGCTTAGGACTGGGAATGTGGTAGAGTGCTTGCCTAACATGCATGAAGCCCTGGGTTTGATTCCTGAGTATCGCATAAACAGAAAAAACCAGGAGTAGTGCTGTAGCTCAAGTGGTAGAGTGCTAGTCTTGAACACAAGAAGCTCAGGGACAATGCCCAGGCTCTGAGTTCAAGCTCTAGAACTGGCACAAAAAAAAAAAACAGAGCTTAGCTGAGTGTAGGACTGTAATCCTAGCTACTCAAGAGGCTGAGATCTGAGAATCAAGGTTCAAAGCCAGCTAGGGCAGAAAAGTCTCCACGGAATTCTTACTTCCAGTTAACCACTCAAAAACCGGAAGTGGTGCTGGAGTGGAATAGTGCTAGCCTTGAGCGCAATGTGGCTTGGGGACAACGCCTAGACCCTGAGTTCAAGCCCCTCAACTGCCAAAAAAAAAACAAACACATCTTAAAAGGCTGTTTGTCCCAAACGAAGTTTACTCATTACCTGACTTATCTAACTGTAATCCTCTCTGTACATCACCTTTATAATAACAATTTAAAATTGAAGGAAGAACAGGAGACCTGAAGAACTAGAAGACAGATGTCCATATTTCCACAACATTCAAACATTTTTGAGTATGTAGATCCTCTCACTGGTGAGTTGCAACCATGACTGTGGATACGTGTCTGTACCCAGCAGGAGGTTCCTTGCCCATCTAAGTCTCTTCCTCCAAGTAGCAATCACACTCTAGTTTCAAGTGCTTATCAGCCCTTATTTTTGGCAAAGTACATACTGTGTTATTTAGTAATTTGTGTGACTAAAAATATTTTTCAGGGGCAGGACAGTAATATAAGTCAGAAGTGATTTCTACTTCCTTGTTGATGTCAGAAGAGGCATTTGTTTACCAGAATAAACCACTACTTTCTTCTTACCGTTTTCATGTTTCAAATAAATGCTTGGTGTGTTTATCTTAGTAAATGAAAGACATTTGTTATACAGTGTTGCATAACAAGCAGGAAGCCCTGAATTCAAATCCCAGCACTGTCAAAATAAATAAACTCCCCAAGAAAAAGACATGGGTGATAACTACACTACTTCTTCCTCAGGAAATGACCATTAACCAGAAAAGGGACCAGAGTCCGGCACAGTCAGGGTTAACCTGCCTCCAGTGCTGGGAAGTTCAAGTCAGAGATTCTAATCCCCTTGTAGCAAAATAACCACCCACTGAGAGGGTTCCATCTTGTTCACTGTCTGATTGCCAGATCCTCAGATGTCTTAGCCTTGGCAAGGGTTATTTGCTAAAACTGAAGAGCAGATAGTTTTAATGTAGCTTCCAGATTGCAAACAAAGCACAGTCATAGCCTTCCTTCCCTTTCCCTTCCCGGCCTCCTTTATTCACGTCTTCTTTGGACAATTTCTGTTATTGTATGTCTATAAGAAAGGTTAAGAGATGTTAGGAAGCCCTGGTGGCTCACCTAGCTACTCAGGAGGCTGAGATCTGAGGATCAAGGTTCAAAGCCAGCCCAGGCAGTAAAATCCGTAAGACTCTTATGTCCAATTAACCATTAGAAAACCGGAAGTGGAGCTGTGGCTTAAAGTGGCAGAGCAAAGCGCCCAGGCCCCGAGTTCAAGCCCTACGATCGGGAAAATGAAAAAAAGAAACAGCGAGAGAGACAGTAGGAAAACACTGTATTACGCAAGGTGGCCCGGGGAGGCCTGAGAGTGGGGGAAAGAAGCGAAGGAGTTAAGAGTATCCGCAGGTGCAGGCCATGCCGCGACCTCGCGGCCACCTTGAGTAGAATCCTCAGCCCTGCCCACCTCTTTAAATTGCTCGCCCAAAGGCAGTTTGGCGAGACAAGCAGTCAAGGCTCCAACCAGACTTTCTGAGCTTGTTAGTCCCTTACCTTCCTCCGTAACCAATAAGGCTTCTTCCAAGCCAGTGGTGACACACCAAAGTGCTGGTGAATGAACAGATTTTCTGGAGGAGGGGCACTTCCTGGTGCGCTGGGCGCCCAGTTCCCACTTACGCGGGACCCTGAGCTCCTCCTAGCGGGCGGGGAAGCTGACTCCCCTAGGGGAATGTTCTCAGAGACTTTCCTCTAAAGTCCCAGCTATTGGAGTTTTTCAAGTTCTCCTCCCCATCCCCGAGACCTCGCCTGCCCCCAGCTCATTTCTCCTTGTCCCAGTGGTAGATCTGGGCAAGCTGGGATGGGGGGGTGGGTGAGGGAAAACGGGGCAGGAGAGAGGGGGGAAAGAACTGAAATCTACATCACAGTGTTAATGCTGCCAACCCCTGGCAAGCTGGAAGTTAGGGGAAATTAGTCTTCTCTCTTTTTTTGGCTTGAACTCAGGGCCTCGACACTGTCCCTGAGTTTTTTTGCTCAAGGTTAGTGCTCTACTACTTTGAGCCACAGCACCACTCCAGGGTTTTGATTTATTGTAGATAAGAATCTCAGGCTCCCCTTTATTATAAATTGCTTTTTTAAATGGCAACTCTTGTACAATTAAAGATAGTTTTTAGAATGTAAAAAGAAATCTCAGGCTCACGCCTGTAATCCTAGCTACTCAGGAGGCTGAGATCTGAGGATCGAGGTTCAATAAACCACCAGAAAACCGGAAGTGGCGCTGTGGCTCAAGACGTAGAGCACTTGCCTTGAGCTGAAAAGCTGAGGTACAGTGCCCAGACCCAGATTTCAAGCCCCACTACCGACAAAAAAATTAAAAAAAAAGTCTCAGAGACTTTCCACTGGCTTCGAATTGCTATCCTCCTATCTCAGTCTCCTGAATCGCAAGGATTACAGGTGTAAGCCACCAGCACTTTGTTTGTTTTTGTTTTTTAATTTTTATTACATTTTATTTTGTTGTAAAGGTGCTGTACAGACAGAGGGGTTACAGTTACAGAAGTAATGAGTCCATTTCTTCTTGAATATTGTTTACTGCTTTGTTTCTTGCCCACTATGTTCCTCCCACTACCCCAACTTTTTGTTTTGTTTTAGCTTTCCCCCCACCCAAAGGTACCTCTCTACCATTTGATCTACAGCTCTACTCATAGGTGTAGCCCAGGCTGGTCTCAAACTCGTGATCCTACTGCTGCATCCTTCTTGATTAGTAGTGAGAACCGTTACTGGCATGGCAAACCAGGCTATAATCCTAGCTACTCAAGAGCCTGAGATCTGAGGATTGCAATTCGAAGCCAGCCCTCACAGTAAAATCCATGAGAATGGATGAACCTTCCAAAACAAATTAACCACCAAAAAGCTATAAATGGAGCTGTGGCACAAATGGTAGAGCATCAGCCTCAAGCAAAGGAGTGAAGGGACAACCCCTAAGCCCTGTGTTCAGTTGCTTCAAGAGAAGAAAATTCACAGCAAAGAATTTTGTTTTTGAGACAAGCTTTTGCTATGTATTCCAGACTGGCCTCAAACTCATGATTCTCCTGCCTCAGACATTCTAGTACTAGGATTGCAAATGAGCGCTGCCACACCTTCTAATTTATTATTACTCTCAATTATTTTATTTCTTCAAAACAAAACATTCCTATTAAGTGCAAATAACTGCATTATTCCTAGTGAGTACACCTGTAAAGTAAACAAAGTCAATACCTTATATAATAGCAAACATTGACCTAGCCAGGTCAGAGTTCAAAGGCTACATCTTCCACTTATAAACTGAGGGCACATTAGTGACTAACCTCACTTGACTGTTTCCTCATTTGAAAAAAAAATGTCCATAATAATTGTACCTACTTCATATAGCTGTGATCAAGATTAAATGAAATAATAAAGTGCTTTGGCTAAAATAGTACACAATAAATGTTACCTATTGTCACTCAGAAATAATTTTAAGGGAAGGCCTAATGTACACAATCCTTTTTTCAGCACTCAAGAGGCTGAAGTGAGACGATCATGAGTTTGAAACTAGCTGAGGCTCCATAGAGAGACCTTGTCTCAAAAGAATAGGAGTTTGGTATATAACTCAGTGGTAAAGTAATTGCCCAGCATGTTTCAAAGCCCTGTGATATAAAAATAGTAATTTTATATACTGTGTATGTATACCCACATTCACATACACATGTATATTCTTTTTAAAGAATTATACAACCTCAAGCAGGTAAATCTGATTGAATTGTGGCTGTTCTGATCACTTTAGGCACAATTCAAATTCAAACCCCTGCTTCAGGTTATTAGACCCTAATGATACAATCAGGTGAAACTAGACCAGAGAATATACCTTGGTTCTCTCTCCCCTTTCTCTTCTATGTAGATTGCCAACTCACCTCCTCTTTCCCTGTATTTTTCTTCCTAGGCCTTTCTGCTCCTTATCCTCTCTAATCTTGGAATGATCTATATCAGGCACCACACTAGGGGCTCAATAGGAATTAGATAAATATCTGATGAACAGAACCACCTTACCTTCTAAAAGACAAATCCCATTTCCTCTTGCATCCCCACCCATTCCAAGCATCACAGCAACTCTGTAATTTGAAGAATAAAAAGATAATAAAGGGATAAAGAAAAAAAGAGATTACGGAAATCATAATGCCATTAACCCCTTTATGTTTGTTTAATCTAAAAAGGCATTAACTCCTTTATATTTATTTACTCTAAAAGACATTTTTTGCCAGTCCTGGGGCTTGAACTCAGGGCCTGGGCACTGTCCCTGAGATTTTCTTTCTCAAGACTAGCACTCTACCACTTGAGCCACAGCATCACTTTGGCTTTTTCTGTTTATGTGGAACTGAGGAATCAAACCCAGGGCTTCATGCATGCTAGGCAAGCACTCTACCACTAAGCCACAGTCCCAGCCCAAGGCACGTTTTCTAGAAAAGAAATCCTTACATTTGTAGGAGGAGAATGAAATATCACTTATTATAGAACATGTTAGACTCTTCAACCTGAAAGTCAGTAAGTGAACATATCATAGGTAATAAGCAATACAGTTGAGTTAAATAAGTGTTGAAATCAAAATGACCTTTAACTTTGCTACCAGCAAACCAAATCACAACAAAGTGAAATTTCTAAATATCTGTCAAACATTCTCATTTTGGTGCAAGGGAAGGTATCTGAAAGACTATAGAATTTGGAAATAACTTGTATGAAAATGATTTAGCAGTTAGGGCTGGTTTAACTCTATTAACACATTCTTCCAAGTTCTTTGTTTACAGTGAGGACTAAGATGGAGGCTGAGAGGGATAGATACACAGGCCATACTCTAAAAGTTTGGGACTTGATGGGAAGACTCACTGGGTAAGAAAACACAGCAGTCAGAGCATTGGTAAGTCTAGGAAAGCAGCCATCCTCTTAGTAATCAGGAAGGAAAAATAATGTGAGAACTGGGTTGAATGCCTAAGATACAAATAATCAAGGAAGAAGATGTAGAAAGCTGCTGTACTAGAACAACTTGTACCAGGCAGCCCTAGAGAAGGCCAGCCAGGCTAAGTGGAAGAGAGCTAAAGAACTCATGTGCTGATTAGATAATAGGTCCTGGGAGATAAAGGAAGGCCTAGAGTGCTGGAATGAGGAGTTTTAGATAGTTTCTGTAATAATAGAAAGCTTATGAAGAGGGTTTTCATGAAATGTTTCTGAAAGAAAACTTCGGTATGCTAGAGAGCTTGCCATGTCCATTCAGATAGGAGATAAAAAGTACAGGCTATTGAATATACTTGGGGGGGGGGGCAGGGTTCTTAAAGTATAGTCAGAGAAAGCCAGGTGCCAGTGGCTCACGCCTGTAATCCTAGCTACTCAGGAGGCTGAGATTTGAGAATCGTGGTTCATATCCACCCAGGCAAGAAAGTCCATGAGACTCTTATCTCCAAAAAACCACCAGAAAAAATGAAGTGGCACTGTAGCTCAAGTGGTAGAGCACTTGCCTTAAGTTGAAGAGTTCAAGGACAGCACCCAGGCTCAGAGTTCCAGTCCCATGACTGAAAAAAATAAATAAGTATGTATGTATGTAGAGTCAGGGAACCAGAAGTTGGTGGCCTCTACCTATCCTAGCTAGATGAGATTTCAGGATCAGTGTTCAAAGCTGGCTGGGACAGAAAAATCTGTGAGACTCTTATCTCCAATTAACAACAAAATAAAAGCTTGAAGTGGAGATGGGGCTCAAGCAGTAGAGCTCTAACCTAGAGCAAAAAAAAAAAAATCTTAGAAACAGTGCTCAGGCTCTGAGTTCAAGCCTCAAGACTTGCACAAAACAAAACACAAAACGTAGTCAGGAACCCCTCTGCAACTTAATAAGCTGGGATGATTGAAATAAATTCAGACTCCTCACTCCCACCCCAACACCACTGAACTGAAATCTCAGATGGGAGGGCTCAAGAGTGTCTGGGGCAGGGTGCCAATGGCTCACATATGTAATCCTAGCTACTCAGAAGGCTGAGATCTGAAGAGTGTGGTTCAAAGCCAGCCCAGGCAGGAAAGTCTGTGAGACTTTCATCTCCAATTAACCATAAGAAAACCAGAAGTGGTGCTGTGGCTCAAGTGGTAGAGGGCTCACCTTGAGCTGAAAAGTTCAGGGACAGCACCCAGGCCCAGAGTTCAAGCCCCACAAATGAACAATAGTGTCTGGGGGCTGGGAATATGGCTTAGTGATAGAGTGATTGCCTAGCATATATGAAGACGTAGGTTCAATTCCTCAATACCAGATAAACAGAAAAAGCCAAAAGTGGCACTGGTGCTCAAGTGGTAGAGCGTTCACCTTGAGCTGAAGAGCTCAGGGACAGTGCCCAAGCCCAGAGTTCAAGCCCCATAACTGACAAAAAAAGAAGCCTAAGGCAGGAGGACCATGAGGATGAAGCCAGTCTGGGTTACATAGGCAGTTTCAAGACAGCTCAGGCTCATAGAGAGACCCTATCTCAAAAGAAAAGTTAAAATCAAAGTTTAGGGCTTGGGACATAGTTCAAGTAGCAGAGAGCTTGCGTAGCATACATGAGGCCCTGGGTTTGAGGTCTATTAGCATAAATTTTTGCATCAATATGATCTTATATGTGTGAAAAATGCACTGGATTAAACGTGTAAAAAATGCACTGGATTACCAGTGTACTCACACTTGTAATCCTAGCTACTTAGGAAGCTAAGATTGGGAAGGTCATGGATCAAAGTCTGCCTGGACAAAAAATTCATAAGACCCCATTTTATCCAGTACAAAACCGAGTATAGGCTGGGAATGTGGCTTGGCAGTAGAGTGCTTGCCTGGTATGCATGAAGCCCTGGGCTCCATAAACAGAAAAAGCCGGAAATGGCACTGTGGCTCAAGTGGTAGAGTGCTAGCCTGGAGCACAGAATGGCTCAAGGACAGTGCCCAGGCCCTGAGTTCAAGCTCCAGGACCACAAAACAACAACAACAAAAACCTGAGTATGGTAGCACTCACTTGTCATCCTAGCTATGTGGGAAATGTAAATAGAAGGACCACAGAGCAGGATATCCCAACTAGAGACCCCATTCAAAAATTATCTAACTATTCACACAGTGAGAACAAAGGAAGATATTCTTAGGAGAGGATCACAAGGGCTCAATAGCTATGTGTATAAGATCATATAAAATTGAACTCCAAGAAATGGAAGAGGATTTTTTTATTATACTGTTTTTAGTTCTTCACTTTTGTTCTTTTATTCTTTCCTTTTTCTTTGGTTTATTCACTCTGTTACTGTTTTTTATTTTTGTACCTTCTGTCTTTTTTGCCAGTCCTGGGGCTTGAACTCAGGGTTTGGGCACTGTCCCTAAGCTTCTTTTTGCACAAGGCAAGGACGCTACCACTTGAGCCACAGCACCACTTCTGGCTTTTTCTGTTTATGATGTACTGAGGAATCAAATCCAGGACTTCATGTACGCTAGGCAAACACTCTACCACTAAGCCACATTCCCAGCCAACAATTTTTCCTAGTTCTAGGGCTTAAACACAGGACCTGGTGCTGTTCCTGAGTTTCTATGGCTCAAGGCTAACACACTACCACTTGAGCCACTTTTGTATATAAGATTATCTTATTTGATGGGAAAGAGAAACACAGAAATGGTGGGACAAATAGTAAACTAATTCAGCAGTGAAACATACTAGACACTATGTTGGAAATGAACTATACAACTCTGGGGAGAGGGGGGTGGGGGGGTGGAACTGAGAGAGAACGAGGGAAGAGTTGATACTGTTCAAAAAGAAATATACTTATTACCTGACTCATGTAACTGTAACCCCTCTTTACATTACCTCTACAATAAAAAATTTTAAAAATATCTAAAGCAAAAAGGACTGGGCATGTAGATCAAGGCTAGCGTATCTATCTAGCAAGCTCAAAGGCTGAATTCAAACTCCAATACACTCACAAACCAATGTTGAATTAAAAGAAAAAAGAGAAAGGGATAAAATGTATGCAATAAAGACTGGAAAGAAATATGTCATATGTTTAAAGTGGTTGCCTCTATATAGTGGACAGGGGGTGGTTTATTTGTTGGTTTCCTTTCCATTTCTGAACAATGGCCATACATTACACTGACAATAAGGTCCTGAAACTGGTTAGACTGAGGAACCAACTTGCACTAAGCAGATTTACAGGAGACTGGCTTACCAGCTAAATACTAGCAAAGAATAGCATTTCTAGTGACAAAAATATTCTTCTCTACTAACATCATACCTACCAAATATTGGGTTTTTTTTTGTTGGTCCTGGGGCTTGAGCTCTGGTCCTAGGCCCTGTCCCTGAGCGTTGTACTCAAGGCTAATGTTATACCACTTGACTCACAGCTCCACATCTGGCTTTTTGTGGTTAATTGGAGATAAAAATCTCATGGACTTTTATGGCCAGGCTGGTTTCAAACCACAATCCTCAGAAACCTGAGTATCTAGGATTGTAGGCATGAGCCACCAGTGCCTGGCTCCTACTATTAATGTACTATATACACCAAACTAGTAATCAGAAGGTCACATGTCATTTGAACAAATGGAGCTGAGTGTTTTAAAGGAGCTTTTTGAGTTATTTATAACATGTCTACCAGACCAGGGTTCCTGCTATTTGAGAAGTGTCACATAAACACTGACTCTCCCATGCTCTTTTTTTTTTCACCAGTAGTTACCAGAATTTTCTATCATTACAATCTTACTTGCCTCCTATCCTCATTACATGTCACAGTTTCCAAGGAAACAGCTCATCTTACATGAATTATATTCTAGGCTGGTAGCTCCCAGGTGAGATATTGGGAAGCATCTAAATCTCATCTGCAGTATATCTACAAATTATATTTACCATGGGTTGCTTCTGGGAAGAGTCGCAGATGGCAAGTTTCATCCACTTTGAGCTTTTTTAAAAATTTTCAACTGAGGAGTCTATCATTTCCTGATTTGTGCATCTAATTTTTTTCTAAGCTGTATTTCTTAGGTTTAGAGATCCACATTCCTTATAGTGTCCTTCAGTGCTTAAGAGAATGGCACTGCCACTAGGAAAAATAAAAATCAGAAAGGGAGTTTTTGGGGAGACCAAGGAGATAG